ATAAATGAACTTTTGATGTTAGAGGGGAATCTTTCAGATTCCTGATCATAAGGGCCTTATTAGTCTGATCTTCTGCTGGACGTAATACTCTGTAGAACATATGAGTATCTCTCCTGTGTAGTTGGGAGGGAAAAAATGATGTTGAATATAGATTTCAAACACAATACACATTAGAATATGATAGGTAGACAAGACTACAAAGTGCTGCTGGGAAATCCAGGGATGGAGTGGTCGCCTTTACCGGAGGTAATTCTGGAACCAATTCTGGAATTGCTATAAACTGATAAAATTCCTCACCAGCACTCCAACAAAATGTGTTTTACTTTCTTTCCTCTTCCCATGATGAATGATCTAAAAAAGCCAAGTTACAAACAACACCTGCGAGTGGCCTAAAGAAAAGCCACAGGTTCTTCTAATGGCTTTCAAAGGTTCACTTCGGCACTAATAATAAGAACAACATTACTCAGATGAGGCTAGCAAACATGTGTCCTTTCCTGGAGCTATTGGGGACATGGTGAGGGAATGACTCATTAATCCCTGGCTGTGAAAAGACACCTTCAAAGTCACCAACTCATAGTAAACATATATAATAGCATACCTCCATGGGACTCACATTACACCAGGTCCCCAAACTTTTTGTGAAAAAGAACTATTTTTAATTTTCCTGATGCCTTGAGATTTTTGGGTGGGGAGGCAGAAACCTAGAGAGACACTGAGGCACCCAGAGGGATTCTCTAAATAGACCAAGGGAGGGGTGCTATTTGATATACTCCCTCCCTAATAGGAGTCTTGGCTGGGAGGGTGCGGTCAAGACCAAGCAATAGGTGACAAGAGACTTGGAAGAATAGGATTATTTCAATGACTCTACAGCGACATACAAGCAAGCTTCCAGCCTGACTGGTAGATCCTGCTCTCCTGCCTGGGGCCTGGAGAATTCAAGAATACATCACAGGAAGAAAGAATCAGGCACCCTCTCCCAAGGCTCAATCAAGCCATGTTCTAATTCCACTGACTGAGAAATCAAAAATACGCATACACAATTCTGCTCCACATTATCATTCTAAGAAAGCCCAAACCAACCACGAGAAAGGTTAACAAGGGGAGGTGGTAACACATGGGGCTGGCTATTCATGAAGAGTTTGTTATCATTAAATATTAATTGCATGCCCATTGAGTGTACTGTAGTATGCAAGCGTTGGGGAGGGAAATATGGTACAAAGGTTATTCAAGCCATTTGGAGGCAGTGTGGTAGAGTGGAAAGTGAGCCAGAGGATCCAGGTTTGAAACCTGCCTCTGCTACTTCCTACCGTGTGACCTGGGGCAAGTCATTTCTCTTTTCTAGGTCTCAGTTTCCTCATCTGTGAAGTGAAGGGGTTAGAACAGATTATTTGGATCCAGAGATAGCATGGTACAGTGGAAAAGAATGCTAGATTTGCAATCAGAGGTGCTGAGTTCAAATTCTGCCCATCATTTGTTACCTGTGTGCCAGTGGGCAGGCCACTTACTTTGGGCCACAGGTTCCTCTTTGGTTGTACTAATGTCCTCTAATGTCCCTTCCAGCTCAAAATCGATGATGCTAGAATCCTATGAGCTCTGGAGTCCCTCTGAGCTCTAAACCCAAGAATATGACTTTCTATGAAGACATATCTTGCCACAACAGGCAAATCAAACTAGACAAATGGGCATAAATACATATGGTATAAATGGGGATTTAAAAATAAGATGCAGACAAGGGTTTCTCAAACGTGGAATGTGCAGAGTATTTCAAAGATGTTGTGGCAACCAGAGACACAGAGCTACAAATAGCTATGTGGTAACAAGAGACACATTTAAAACAAAATGTAGGGGGCTTGAGGAGAGCAGGAGGGGCGCTACGGGGGGAAAAGCCAGGGCTGACAAACTCGAAAATCACTGACTTACAAACACCCACACAAACTCAAATATCTTCAATCAATGCTGAAGATGGATAACATGGGACTGGCACAACAGAAACAGCCCTGAACTTGGAACCCCAGGGACTGAGTTTGAATCACAGTTCTTCCATTTACTGCACGTGTGACCTTGGGCAAATCACTTCATGTCAATGGGCCTCAGTGTGCTCATCTAAACAGAGGGGGCTGCTCTAGCTCTGTGATCTGAGGAAGGACCAGGTGGTTTTGAAAGGCTGGAGGGGGGTGGGGGGGCCATCAGGAGGCAGCTAGGTGGCACAGTTGACAGAGCACCGGCCCTGGAGTCAGGAGGACCGGAGTTCAAAACTGGCCTTAGACACATGATACTCACTAGCTGTGTGACTCTGGGCAAGTCACTTAACCCCGATTGCCTCCACTGCTTTGGAGGTTTTTGGCTTCCATTACCTTCTGACCTCAGGTAGCTTGCATGGTGTTTCAGTGGAACTCAATTCAAGCAATCTATTTTAAATGTCTGCTATGTGCATGGTACTGTGCTAGGAACTGGGGATACCAAGCCAGTAAAAACAATGCAGGCCCCTCCCTCAAGGAGCTTACCTTCTGCTGGTGGAAAAGAATATGTCCAGAGAAGTACGATTAGGGAGTTAGAGGCAGAAAAGACCTCGGAGGCCATCTGATCCAAGCCCTTCATTTACAGATGAGGGAATGAAAACCCAGAGATGGTCAGTGACTACCAAGGGTCACTCAGGCATTATAGTAAGTGTGACATCTGGAATTGGACTCCAAATACAGGATTCTTTAGACTATATAGTATCATGATGCTTCCCCATAATAAAGTAAATACAAAATAACTTGATGAGGAAGTGGGGAATCAAGAAAGGGAATAATTTAGATGAAGATGAAAATGATAGCTGAAGTAAGTAGGTGAGACCAAGAAAAGAAGGAAAAGATGAAGAAAGAAGGAAGGAAGGAGAAGGAAGGAAAAGGAAGAAGAAGAAGAAAAAGACAATGATGACAGAGGAGCACAAGGCTGAGGAGACAGCTGGGTAACAACAGCCAGAGAGAGAACGTTGAAGGAACGGAGATGATCTAATCCATTCCCTTCATTTTACAGAGGAAGAAACAGACCTAAGAGATGAAGGGTCTTACTCACAGTCAGAGCAGAGTTATTCTGTTTTTTAAAAATCACTAAGACAAAGAAAGGATGGGTAAGTATACCACAGGAATTAAAAACCCAACTCACAGGAAGGAGAGGTAGGTAGAAATCACTTATCTCAATTTCCTCCATTATCCCTTTTGGACAGTTTTGTTGTTGTTTTTGTTGTTATTGAAAATGTTACTGAAAATAGCAAAATTTGACTGCAACTTATACTAAGGGATAATAATAATAATAATAAATAGCATTTATATAGCACTTTAAGGTTGGCAAAGCACTTTGCATAGGTTATCATCCCTAGAAGGTATCTCTATGTGACAGATTAAGAAACTGAGGCTGAGACAAGCTAAGTGACTGGCCCAAGGTCACACAGATCCTAAATGTCTGAAGCAGGATTTGAATTCATGTCTTCCTGACTCCAAATTTAGCACTCTTAGCCACTGTACCACCTAACTACCTATATAATAATAATAATAGTTCTCATTTAAATACTTCAGGTTTACATAGCACTTGCATAAAGATTAAAATAAATATAGGCAGAAAATCAGTTTCCTCGTCTTAAATAAGAGGAACAGACCAAATGACCTCTGAGGTCCCCTTTCATCTCTTAGGTGGCTGATTTCATCAGGCAGTTTTGCAAAATCCAAGGCCCCAACAAATTAAGAAAGAAATGCAGCCACAAGGAGACATGCTGTCTAGGAAGCCCACTGGACCCAATAAGGAAGTTCTTTCACTTCCACAATTAGTAATGCTGTATAGCCCCTCTGCAAGAGGTAGAATTGTCAACCCTATCTTACAGATGAAGAAACAAAAACCAGGGTGAAAAGGTTTGCCTAACATGCAGCAAGTTGGCTACACGTCAGAAATCAGACCTCGCCAGTGTCTGTCCACCAAAGCACAGCAAAAGGACTCTCTCTTCAATGATGATAGGCTGCACACTAGAAGGGTGAGTTGTGTTCACCCTAGAAGGGTAAGATGTGGAGGAAACACTGCCTGTGCTGGCAGTCAGCAGCCATATAAAAATGAAGACACAATGAGCTCCCAACTGGCAAGAATGTTCTCTGTGAATATAAACAGGCCCTAGTATGCCATGTGCACATGAGGAACCCTAAATGACCAAGTTATCAGAAAGCTACAACAGCAGCCCAAACTGGACTCCTTCTTGATCATGAGGTCCATCTAACAAGCCACTGATCATTAGTGGGCACCACATTAATGGTCTTTCCCCCACTGACGATCAGTCTACACTAAATATATACAAAGAGTACCAGTAATTTTTCATGATTTCTCGTTGTTCCATTTTTTCAGCCTGGGGGAAATATTGGCTGGGATATTTAAGGGAACAAAACTGCAAAGCACACACACGGCCCTTACCTCTTTTCTCTGATAAAGAGTCTACTGATCCTAGATTCTGCTAAAAAAACAATATTCCATGCTTTATTACTTCCAATTTTGTTTTTTTTTTCCACAGCTATACTGACAATTTTAAGAGAAAAGATGAATTGTGTTGTGGTTTACTGTTCAGACGGAAGACATGAGAGGCCAGATGAAGCCAGGCAGGCTGACTACTGAGTAAGGAAGGGCCTCTGCCCGCAGGGGGAAGCATCTGTGAGCCATGTGACCCACACAGAACAATTAGTGGAAAGGAGGGAGAGGTCACCATCTTTCCCAATCAACGATTCTAATGATGCCATGTCTTCGATTTTCAGAGACTTTAAAATTGAAACATAATCTCTTGATCACCTTGATTTCTGTTACTGAAGGAGAAATAAAGGTCCAGAGAAGACCTACTTAACAGCACCTTTAGAACTGTGACATTCTTTGCTCCCAAGTCCTGAACTCTCAAGTCTGTTTCTGTTCCAGGTTTAAAAGTCATTTCATACCAGGTTTCCGGTCATCATAATTTGGCCTTGTCCAAATCTGGGGCAGTGACTTACTTGAATATGGTGTACACCATTCTGTTTTCCAATCTGCTGCTCAATGGTCTGGACACAGGAATTGCATGTCATACCTTCCACTGCGATGGTGATAGAATTCACACCCATAACTGGATCCATTCTGCTTTCCTTCACATTCCTGTTTTTTAAAAAAAAAAAGTAAAAGATTTTAACTTAGCAGTGGAAATGAATATTTTTATTTCCCCATGGAACTGTGTAAAGTAAATACAAATCACTTTTTCAAAACCTGCCTACAACTTTCCTTCATCTTGGATGAGGAGGTAAAAAGCTATTTCCAAGGCAAGACTTCACCATACTTGAATGAATACAGCACTAAGAGAAAACTTAGGACATTTTCAAGAGGACAGAAAAAAAAGTCCTCAGAATTATTCCTGATTATTCTCTCCTTCTGACCTGAATTTCTCACAGAAACTCGTTTAGTTAATACTGCTGCACCAAGTTGTTTTTCTCTTTGGAGTAATTTTCTTTCAACTACCAAATCACTAAAATACAGTGATTCAATTCAATTCAACAAACATTTATCAAGTATTTATGTGGGGTAGGCACTGATACAAAGACAAAATTTTAAACAAGCCATGTCCCCATGGAGCTTACAATTTAAAAAGACAAGGGCAGAAGAGATACTATGTCAGTAGGAGTGGAAGGGAAAGAAATGACAAAGCAGCATATTTCTACAGAGCTTTGTTTACATACCATTGTGCAACTGGTATGATCAGTCACATTGGAAGCAAGCCTAAGAAATGAGTCAGGAGAAATAATGGGCTTTTCCCAATGCATGTCTCTAGGCAACTTTGAGAGGAACCTTACATTACTCATGTTTGTGTCCCATGATTTTGTGTAACTTTAAAGATGCTAATTAAAGCAAATTTTTCTAGTTTATAAGAGAAGTTACATTAGGAAGAACAGGTTAGGTAGATACAGGGAAATTATGCAAGTACTTGGCAAAGACTTCAAGTTATATAGAGAATAATAAGCTTTGCAGAAGAGGGAGGGGAGGAATTTTGAGCTAAAAAAGGGACAAAAGGCAAATGGTGACAGTGGGAAAAAAAAAGCAGGAAATAAAAGAAATCTTACTAAGACATTATCACACCCAGCATGAGACGGCAATAAAAGAAAAAGCCAAATCCAATGACTCAAGTTCAGTGTTCACTGTTAGAATCTACTTGATTTGAATTAGAATCTATATTCATGTGACCATAAGTAAACACTTAAGAATATGGAGCCTGTCCCATTAAGAACTACCTTAGACCATAGATTTCAACTCCGATGAAATCACCAAGGATGTGTTCTGACCATTTCTGAAGCAGATGCTAATTCAACTGATCTTCTACCACCACATATAACAGGGTGTCTAAATATTTTACAGCCCTATTTTCTCAGATGGCACAATTACAAAGATCACTTGCCTTGGTCAATCCAATCATCAACAAGGCAGGCAAGCTTTTACAGCAATTCACAGCTAAACCATGATCATTGCCATGCCTGAAGGCATGCTTATCAGAGTGCTTTAGGCTCAGCAACTCTGTATTTATGGGGCACCTTGGTTTAAGGCCCTCCCACAGTACCTCTGAATCTACTTCATGGCTTTGGAAGCATGACTAGCTTCTTGGGACATTTTAACTAGTATCCATGCTAAAATAGATGTGCTATCAGAAAGGCCAGTCTTTCGCTTTCAGTCAAGGGTGATGAGGATGGGATCTGGACCCCAAAAAGGAAAAACCCTGGACTTTCCCATGTGGCCAAATCTCTGGTGGTCCCCTGAGGCTATAATCCCATCAACTGGCCTTTCATTGTGGCTATGCCCAATCTCCCAATTCCTTGTTACCCCAAACCTAGCCTACCCCTTCATTGTCTTACCTCTCTATGGTCATTTCCCACCCTTAATCCTATCTAGGCTCCATTCTCCCTTGGCCTCATGGTCCAGGTCCCTGGCATTCTATTACCTCACAGTCCCCCAGAGACTACTTGGCCACGCCTAGATCCCTCCCACAGTCTTTCTGTATATAAGGTCCATTTTGTCTCCATTAAGGTGCTCAGATTCTTACAATCTAGCCACTGCTCAGATTCTTATAATCTAGCCAATAGCTCACCGACATTCAGACTCCTTAAGAGTCTGCCCAATATGACTGATGTTCTTATAAACCTTGTCTTTGGCTGAAAGAAGGCTTGGGTCAAATTCTTTAGGGCAGGACCCATGTGTTGTGATACTGGGGTCCCAGCACCCCTACACCGCAACAATGGGCATGTTACATATCACGGGAAGCTAGTATAGCCTGCTCAAAAATTAGGACAACTAGGGCTAAAATGAAATGGTGATAGCTCTGTTTCAATTCACTACATCAAGTACTTATTAAATGCCTAGTAATGCTAGAAAAGTCCTGTGCTAGCAATGGGAAGCCAAAGACAAACAAAAAATGAAATATCCCCTGTCCTATAGAAGTTCACATTCTACTGGGTTGAGGGAGATACAACATGTACTTTGGTTGTTCTGCTGTTTTTCAGTCATGTCTGACTCCTCATGACCCCATTTGGGGTTTTCTCAGCAAAGATACAGGAGTAGTTTGCCATTTCCTTCTCTAGACCATTTTACATATTCGGAAACTTAGGGTTAAGTGACTTGCCCAGGGCCACACAGCTAGTAAGTGTCAAATCCGAGGCCACATTTGAACTCAGGTCTTTCTGACTCTAGGCCCAGTGTTCTATCCACTTTGTCACCTAGCTGCTCACAAAACGTACACAAGTAAATAAATCTATACAGTCTGAAAGTAATTTTAAGAGGGAGATAATTTCAAGTGTTAACTAGTAGAGAGAGGACAATCCGTGATTCATAGGCAATTAACTCTAAAATGTTATCTATTATACTCAGAAACTCATTTGTCTGTATTGTTTTGATCTTTGTAATCTATTTTAAAGCTCGCGTTCTCTCTCCTCTTTGCTCAATAAGTTTTGCAATGGCCTTTGGCCAAAAGCAGTTCTCATCTATACTTAACAGGGCAATCCATGATCTATAAACATGCAACCCCCAAAGGCCCCATACAGATGCACAGCTGACACCCTGCAGCACTCCTGCCCTGCCTCCCCATACCCTTTTCTATTAGAGCAGATGCTGCCACCATGGAAGCAGTTGTGAAAAATCCTGCACTTAGGAAGGAATCAACAGCTTCCAAAGGGAAGGGGAGAGGCTGTGACAAAGCAGAAACAGAACTCAAATAACCTTTTTTTGATCACAGTCTCCCCTTCCATCTCTCCCTGTGCCTTTTTTTTTTTAATTTTTTTTTTTAAATTTTTAGGCAATTGGGGTTAAGTGACTTACCCAGGGTCACACAGCTGGTAAGTGTCATGTGTTTGGTCTGAGGCCGGATTTGAACTCAGGTCCTCCTGACTTCAGGGCCGGTGCTCTATCCACTGAGCCACCTAGATGCTCCGCCTAACTCTTCCTAATGCTATTCTTTGTCCTCACCCGATATCCAATGACTTTATCCCTCTCTGTTTTCTCAATTCATCACCTCTACTCTGGCCTCATTTTTCTCTCTTCACAATCCTGATTCTATAGTTGACCAGTTTAACCATATTCACTACATTTGCCCCGTGAATCCACTACCCCCTGTCCAACAGCTGCTTGTGTCCTACCCATCAACCATCTCAGATCAACATCTCTCTATTTTGCTAAAGGAAGTCACACAACGGGGCTGAAAGGGTTGACTACAAATTCCTACTATGTAATGTCAACCGGGCCCTCACTGAGGAAAAGCAATTCTTCCCTGACTGAATCTAGAGTACACTCCCCAAGGGCGTTCCAAACCTCCTCCTGTCTCCTGGAGCTCCTATTCCCTCCTCCTCCTCCCCCAGCAGAAAAATCTTGCCTCCTACTTACTGCAGAAAATACAGGCCATTCACCATGAGCTCCTTTATCTCTGTGACTCCACATCTCAAACTATATCTTTTCCCATCCTCTTCTTTCTTCTACTGATAAAGAAGTATGGCACCTTGACTAAGGCCTTTTATCCCATTATCTATCGCCTCCTTCTCTCTTACTGGCTCCTTCTGTGCTGCCTACAACTATGCCCAGGTATTCCCCATTTTCCCAAAGTCTACTTCACTCCGATATCCTCTCAAGCTAACCCCCTCAGTCTCTCCTCCTTTTCATTGCCAAGCTTATAGTGAAGAGCTATCTAATTTTACTGCCTCTACTTCCTTACTACCTACTCACTTCTTAACCCCTTATAATCAGGCCTCTGATCCCACCACTCAACAAATGAGGGCCTTGGGCAAAATGATCACCAAGTTCTATTTCAGTGCTAAAATTCTGTGCTTTTGCAAATGTTTGGTTTCTCAGCATTTATAAATCTCCATTTCAGTGTAGCCTATAGCACTACATACATATACATATGTATGTAGTCATGACATGTCATGATAAATCACCTGGCAGCACTAAATTTCAGAGTGCAAAAGTAGTCAGGATAAATTAGAATGTGATATTGAGAGATGCTGCTTGAAGTACCTTAAAATATGAAGTAAGTGAAATACAGCACGTCTTTCACTTAGGCACATAAAGGGAGGCAGCATGGGAGTGAGGAAAGAGTGCCAAGTCCGGAGTCAGATCTGGCTCCAGTACTGGCTCTTGCCCTTACTACATGTGCAGCGCTGGGCAAGTGACACCTGCTCTGGACTAAAGGAGCTTCTTGACAAGCTAGAGCATGAAATTGAATCCAATAAGAAAAAAATAGAGTCTCATCCTTGGGTACCAAAAATCGGCTCGACAAGTATAAATGGCAGAGGTGTAGCTAGACAGCAGGTGCTCTGCTAAAGGCCTAAGGACTTCAGGAGGCAATGAGCAGTCATAGGCTGTGGCAGCCCAAAAAGGGGAAGGGATGGGGGAAGGGAGGGGGTGTGAAGAGGGACCCAACTTCCAGGAGTAGAGAAGGGATCAGCCCATTGTAATCGTTGCACCTTAGACCTCATCTGAAGTGTTGTGTTCTGTTCTGGGCGCCATGTTTTAAGTATCTTGATAAATTAGAGAGTGTTAAGAGGAGAGCAATTAGCATGGTGAAGAGTCTTGAGCCCATGACGTGTCAGGATTGGTTAAAGGAACTAGGTCTGTTCAACCTGGAAAAAAGA